TTTTACAAAGTGATTAAAAACAAATAGTTAGATGATGATTTTACTATCTGTTACATATTTATTTCTTAATCTGTTTCCTATGCACTAATTTATATTATAAATAATTGACCACTGGTGATGGATGTCTGGCGACATTCAAAACAGCTATACGATCAGCCTAAGAACTCAGTTGTATAAAATTAAGAAAGTTTTCTATATTTCTCATTATCTCTTTGAAATAGATTTCTTTCTTATAGATAAATCTAAATAAATCTAAATTTTAAATAATAGGCTTATTTCACCATTACTAGTAATATCTATGATATATTTTGCAGAATGTGTCATATCCACATATGACATATTCTGATCTTAAGTAATATGTACAGAATAGATGACTAAATCTCTTAATAATAATAAATAAAATAAAAATTGAAATTTTAAATTTTATTCAATTGATGATTTAAATTTTCTTATTTCGTCTCGAAATCATAAGTTTCCACATACGAGTATTATTTTTCATTGATTATACCATCATTTTTACAATATAAGTCGTGATTTTTTCAAATGCCTTAAGTAAATAAATAATTGATTATATAAGCAAATATATCAATATCTTATATAAATAAATTTATTAAAAAATTATTTTAGTGATGTGTCAATTAAACCATTAATCATCAGACTGTAAAATATAAATGTATAATATATGCAAATTTTAATATATATTGAATAAATTTTATTAAGGTTTGTTGACATAAGACAAACGATGATGGAAGATCCAAATGAGAGCTACAATTATGTAAAAGAAACTTTTATACATTAATACTCTAAATTTTTTACTAACACCACATAGGCTGTTTAGAGAGTTATGCCTATGGCTATTATGTTTACACCTAAAACACCTTTTACAATATTTTTTTGTTATACGAATATTAGTATTATTTTTTAAAATTAAAATATAGTTTTGTAAATTTAAATATAAGATTGAGAAACATGTTTTGCACCATTAATTTGACAGGTTCCCATCAAACAATACCTTACAACATTTCATTTAATATTTTTAGAACAAATTTAACTAAACTTTAACTTAATTTATAATTCTTTATATATATAGGTATATATATACTGTATTTTAATTAATGAAAATTATATTAACAAATACTAAAAATGAAGCAAATTTTTAAAATTATATGGATTACTTTTTAATTAAATTAATTTAAGCCAAAAACAAAAGTATTTTAAAAGTACAAACAAATATTTTATTGTAATCTTAAAAAATGAACTTAGGATAAATAAAACTATAATATTTCAAGTAGCCCACAGCCAATTTCTAACAAATTGACCACTGCATTTGCATGGAGTCAAAAATAATTTATATATCCTCATACTCGCACTCGAGTGAGTAGTCATGGAAAGTGTACATGTGTAGATATGTGTGAAAATATCTTTTATTATTTATTATAATACGAATTGGTACAACCTCAACTGCCAAAGCAATTGGCTACCGGTATTTCAGTTGCTGTTTAAGAAAAAATTACACAAAAGCAATGTTAAGCCCAGAGAAATTCAGTAACAACAAAATCAATGCTAAATAATGGCCAAAAGCTATACATTTTCTTACAGCCCGAAACTTGGTTGAATATGCAAAGCGACAGCAAGCACAATATTTGTTGTTGCTGTTCTGTTGATGTTGTTACTCTGATGCTCTGATGCTCTGATGCTGTTCCGGAATTGGACACAGCAGTGCACAGCTGGAGATGAAGTACCCACATAACACCCAAATGCCAGCAACATGCTTACTCACATTACCGTACATTCATACTAAAACTCACTTTAAATGAAATTGTACGAATGAATGAAAGAATGAATGAATAAATCGTACATTGCCAATTTAAAGCAACAAGATTGTTATTGCTGCTCAAAGCAAAGATACTCACTGTTTGTCCAAAAGTCATAAGTCAACAGTGAAGTACGTAACGCAACCATTCCTTGACACAACATTTACAGCGCATCCTTTTATGTGGTTTCTACTTAAACAGTTTGTTACTGTGCTTTTGTTGATTGACCAAAGTATTTGCTACTTCCTAACTCAACACTCAACTAAATAACATTCATTCAAGTTATTGTATATCCAAACCACAAACACAGTTGCTAAGCAATTTATCACTATACCCGCCTGAGATTGACGACGCCAACATGCGGCAATAACCAATGCGACGTATCCGACCAAGTCGTTTGCGTAAATTGATTTGCATATCCAATTATAAACACATTCGCGCAAATTCTTCTATCCACACATCTCCCAACTAACCGTGTTGGTTAACATTTGCGCTTGCGCATCCTCTCCAGAAGCAGATAAACAAACCGGCAGAGTTACAGTTGCATCTATAGAAGTAAGTGCAGCTTGTTTATGTTATATGCGCTTATTGTACCGAATTCAAAGTCAAAGCATTTAATGAACTCTCTCAAGTTAATTGACTTTTAAAATGGGTTGGACTGGTAGGTCGGTAAATAAGTAAATGTGTAATTTTAATAAAAGATTTGTTTACAATTATTTTTAATTCTTTTTGTTTTTAGTCTTCTTTTGTTATTACATCAAATTCATTTTGATTAAGTTTGATTTTATCGCGATATCATTAGTTGCTACATAACTTGTGACACTTCCAAGACGATCGGCCAAGTGCATTTAATTGTGTGAATATTTCGCCATTTAAGTGAATTTAATATAATTTTAATAACACTATCATTTCGCCTATAAAAGGTGTGACAATTTCGTACTAATGTATATATCGGTTATTATAATGCAATTGTGCATAAATTTAAATATTTTACATTTTTCACATCTATCATTTTTTTTGAAAATAAACGCTGCAGTTTTCTTATATATAGTATTACACAAAAAATATACAAAATTAGAGTATGTATACCACAGGACCAAAGTCTAAATGAGTCCTAACACTTCTCCCTTGTTAGAGAGAGTTATAACAGAGAGGTATTGGTAAAGAGGTAGTTAAATATTTCATTCATTTTTATATAATTGTTTCATTTTATTTTCTTTGAAGTTTTTGCTGTCGGTAAAATTTAATGAGTTCAATTCTTAGAAAGCAATTAATTTCTTCAGCATGGAAAATGAGAAGTACACACTTATATATGAACTTCTTTATCATATCTGTTCACATAAAAGCATAAATATATTAAGTAATAGACTAATGTTATAACTGTTGAAAAATTAAGTACATATTGTATATTGAAATACTTCAACTTACAATCATTGCTAAATTTCACTAAATGGACATTTTGCTCACCAGACAAAATCGATTTACTCTGCACTAAAAACAATGACAGTATTCAATTAGCAAGTGGACATTCACAATAGGAATTAAATTACAATTAATACCTATATACAATTAATAACTATATACGACTATAAAACTTAATTCTTTTATAATACCCTTCAGATTGTTGTAAGGAAGTAGTGTATGAAATAATATTTGCAGGATATTTCAATACAGTAAAAAAAAATTTTGTAGAGATTATACATACTATTATTGTATGTTTATACAGTTTAACAGTTTATGAACCTAGTATTCAATTGTTTGCTAATATTTACGATTATGAAAAAAAAAGACAAATTAGAATTATGTTTTATATATTGGCTCGACTAGATTATTTGGCAATGATCTACTCCTTTAATCTGCTCCAATCTTTATTATATTTTAAGGTATATAATTTTATTTTGATGTGTTACATACTTGAATAATATTGAATTAACAAAATTTCGTTCTAATTAATTTAAATTGAAATAAGATTGTCATATTACTCCATAATGCAACAATTTTTTTTGAATTAAAAGCTTCATTTATTATTTTTATGGCAAATACTTATTCTGATTAAAATACTTTGCCATAAGTATAAGTATATCCAAGGAAAAAAATATCTAAACTAATTTGGAATTGCATATCAAAACATAAGTAAGCATAACAGTCACTAAATCCTTGTTTGGAATATATTATTACTAGAAATATAAATATCTAAATTAGAATTGACCATAACTTAAATTAAGTGGAGATTCTGAAATTCCTGTTTGAAATATTATCAAAAATAAAAACAAACTAAAAACTAAATTTTTTTCTGATTCTAATCGTATGTACCATTACTAAAAATAGAAATATCTGAACCAATTTAGAATTGCTTATCATACAAAAGCAATCGCAAAATTCCTAATTAGTATACTTTATATTATTGCTTTAAAATATATATATCTGAACCAATTTAGAAATGCCTAGCACACTAAACTTTGGATCAGTTAAATGTTAAGCGATTTAATATTAGCTTTTCTGTTTATTTATTGAATTTAATACTTCCCAACTCTAAATTTGAATTTATATTTCAGATCGTTATTACATACTTTTCTCCACAATTTATTATTATGCTCCCATTACATATTCAAGATAAAAAGAGCTAATAATATACTAAAGAAGTCTTGCCATATAATGTAATTGCCAAAATTTCATCTTCCAGATACCAAACTAAACAGATTTGCGACTCAATCACATTAAGTTTCCAAACGAAAAAGGGGTGTTGACTTACAAAAATGTTAGCATTTAAAAAATAATTTTAAACTGACAACATTTCTTTCTGCCGCCATGAATAAAAAGTCAATGTACATATCCCTCTTTACTCTGACATACACGTACTACGGCAGGACTGAATCTATTTACAATAATATATTTAAATGCAGACCCTCATTTTTCCGCATTGATGCATATGTTTCTTTTTATCTTATAAATGAAATAATGAGAAATACCAAAATATGATAAAAAAAATTTAAATTTATACAAAATTTACATAATATCTTTTCTATTTGACTTTTTCTTGCATTGGTTGTTGGTCTTTATCGAAAATCTTAACAAAGATAAAAACACAAGCCTTTGCCAGCGAATTTTTTTATGAGTGCTTGTATTTCAAGTAAAATATAGCAGCACAAAATGCTAACAACCAAAATTGAAATAATATGCAAAACAGTCAAAAATATGCCAAATAAAACTGCTGCAATATGTAAAACATTCGAATGTCAGCACAATAAAAAAGGAACTTCAACGAGGAAAAATTTCAAATTCAATTGAAACGAATCGAAATACAGCAACGCCCATCTTTGCTCGCAACCGCAAGAGATTTTCCTTCAGATCTTTCGCTTATGAAAAGAGTGCAAGTATTTTTCTTTAACTGCAAGCACCAACATATCTTTTACTTGTACAACTTTTTTCTTTACTAAACAATATTAAACGAGTGTAGGAATGGCTTACCTCTTGCAACTTAATTCAGAAAATTTAAACATAAAACAAATCATTTTTTCGTTTGCTTTTATTTTAAGCTGTCCAACGGATGTATCTGAATGCAGTCCTTTGGCACTGTTACTGTCAGCTTACCGCATGCATTCAACTTATTTGTATTTCGCAGTTGCATCAATGCTCGGCACGATTAGACTCTTTTGACAAATAAGTTGCATGCAAGTGCCTCGTATGCTTGGTGCATGCAGCAATTTGCGGATTATTCACTTAAATAGCACTTATATGGCTTATATAGATACTACCATGGATGTAAGCACATATATGTAGATTTCGTTTTCTATTTAAAAAATTGTTAATTATTTTCTCAATGAAATTTAAATTAATTTTCTGTATTTCTGTATATGCAATTGAGTAGCCACTTGTGCTGAGCGAAAATTCATTGATGAACACATTTCATTGGAACAGTTTTTGCTTAACACTTGAACCGAGTGCTGTACATCAACTGTCAGTTTATCTTGACGGCTTGTTGACATGACAAATTTGTATGTCAAGTTTTGTGTAAAAAGTTCATTTACTGTTCACTGTAGAAAAAGGACGTACATAATG